CACCACATGCACAACACCAGCTCCCCACTCTCCTGACCCCACAAGTCACCTTTGGAGCCAAGCTGGGGCAGCTCCCAGGGGCACTTGGAAGACCACACACTACAAAGCAAGGATGTCACCCCCTGGGATCAGGGCTGCAGGCGTGGAGGGCACATCCTGGATCCATAGCTCGATAGACTTGAGCACCACACCCACTCACAGACACTGACGGTAAAATAAACTAACTGACCTGCCACTGACTCAGGCTTTCGCTGCTGAGGGTTGGGGGTGGGAAGTGATGTGCAGGGGCTCAAACCACTGGACAGCAGGGGCCAGGGCCCAGAGACTCCTCACCTGCCCAGCCCTTTCATTTAACAGGTGGGGAAACTGAGGCCCCTCAGGTCCTTACACATGTTCTAGGCACAGCCCTGTGGTCAGATCACATGGGCAAATGTTGGGTTATTAATGAAACCTACCTTTCCAGGGCCGTCCTCAAGGCTGCCAACGTCCAGGTCTCATGAGTGTGGACAGCCAGGAGCCTCTGATTAGGAGGGCAAGGCACAGGGACTGTGTGCCCGGAGCCCACTCGGGGCTGAGCTGTGTGCGCCGGTGTCCCTGAGGCCCGAGCAGCGCAGGTGTGAGCCACCCTGACCTCTGTGGGCTGTGGGGGCCCAGCCTGTGCTGCCTCCTTGGCTGCGCAGGTGGGCAGGCAGTTTTGCAGGGCTCTAGGCCAGGCCTGGCGGTCCGTAGTAAGTGGACTAACTGCCCTGTGGCCTGGCCTCTTGGCTGAGCCAACGCTCTCAGGGTGGCTCTGAGAGGTAGGGTCCTCCACCCCTCTGGACTCGAAAATTACAGACAGGGTGTCTCCACTCTGGTCCCCTGGAGTTCCTGGATGCTGGCTGGAGAGAGGAGCTGAGCCCCTACACACACACACGCACGCACGCACGCACGCACGGCTCTGGGCACTGGGCTACCCGAATGGCACCTCTAGGAGTCGCCCCCCAACCCACGGCTGTGGCTCTGGCTATGGCCAGCGCTCCCCTTGGGGTTGCTCACAAAGCCGCCTGCATTTGAGCCTCAAAAATGTGGAGATGTCCACTACCCCCATTTTACAGACCTGATCTTGAGGCTCAGAGGTGACAGCAGAGTCCAGGCTCTGCCCCTGCCACAGGGGACCCACCAATGAGCCACACCTGACAGAAACCACAGACAGCTCCTGGCGATTGGCTATTAAACCAGGAAGCTTTATTTACACAGTAAAAGTAACAAGCAAATTCCTGAGACTAGAGCGGCTCTAGTGCAAGACAGGTGTGGCTGGCACAGGGCACAGCTGCGGCGGGTGGAGGTGGGTGACAGACCCAGCGCCTTGGGCACATAGGTCACTCTGCCCGGCAGAGGCCTGGCCCCACCCCACGTGCTCTGGCCACCACCCTACCTGAATGAAGTGCTTCCATTTCATTTCGGAAAAGTACACTACAGCCCCACGCTGGCACCGAACCCCAGGACAGTCCTCCATGCACTGAAAACAATTTGTTTGCCAAAGAGACTATGCTAGAAGGTCAGACTACCTACCTAGGCTACAAGATCTCCGCTGCAGTCTGGGACTTCCTTCTTCCATCTTTTTCTCTTCTAAGAGGCATGTTTTTCTGTGGCTGTCATCAGTGGGAGGGGTGTGACCAACCGTGTGGCTGTGGCAAGAGGTGGCTCCATTGCCTTCATGGGAGCAGAGCTTCTGGGCAGCACCCACCACCGGGCAGGGCCCCAGAGGCCGGGTGTCTGGAGGGCCTGCTCACACCCAGGCGCAGAGCCCGAAGCGGTCATCACTTAGGTGACGGGCCCCAAGGCCAGAGCACACAACTTGAACCTCGTGAGCAGACGCGGAGGTGCAGCGCACAAGGCCGCCACGCCTGAGCCGTGGCCGGGCCACCCTGGGGGTTTACAATGCCATGGAAACTGCTCAGACAGGAGGTGTCCCGAGCACCCCTCGGGCAGCATCTGCGGGGTGTGGGAAACCACAGGCTCTCCACCCTGGGAGACCCACTCGGACTTTTGGTTTTCTTTATCACGTGGCCTTCTCCTTTATTGAAGTTTTCTTTCAGCATACAAATTCACAAAACTTTCCTGCTACAAAAATTCTGTTGAAAAGTAAGGCTTTCCGAGAATGAAAATCCGTATGTATGGTCAGAACAAGGTCCCCTGTGGCCTGGGTGTCGTGTGTGCCTGTGGGCCCTGGGCCAGCCTGGCCACCTCGAATAAGGCAAGAGGATTTGTGGCAATGTAAACGAGAGGCTGCCACTGAGCCCGCCCAGCACCCACGGCAGACAGGTTTCAACACCATCTCGAGGCCCTGCGAGAGGATGCTCCTGTGGGACCAGTGGGGCTGTGACAGCAAGTGACTCCGCCCCACCCTGCTGCCCCGAAGCCATGACCCTGCTCTCGTCCTGCAGGGACCTCNCCCAGTGGCTCGAGAGGATGCTCCTGTGGGACCAGTGGGGCTGTGACAGCAAGTGACTCCGCCCCACCCTGCTGCCCCGAAGCCATGACCCTGCTCTCGTCCTGCAGGGACCTCTGTGCAGGTGGGCGGTCGGGCACAGCCCTCCCTCCTGGCTCTGACTTCCTCAGTGTCCCCTCAGAGGCAAGAGTTCATGGGCATCGGCAGCGAGAGGCAGGACTCCAACTAAAGTGAGGCTCCTGCAGGGTGAGCCACCAGCCCGCCCACTGCCCTTGGGGACAGTCCCATGGGGTCAGACAGAGCCTCCTGGGTGAGCCTCCCTCCAAGAGCTACAAGACCAGAAGGGGCCAGTGGGGTGGACCAGAACGGCCCTCGCCGGGCAGAGTGGCAGAAACTTCTAGATGAAGTCTGCTCTCTCCAACCAAAAGACAAACATGAAACCAACTGAAGGCCATCTCCCCTCGGAGCAGAAGGGACACAGGCTGTCTCTCCTCTCACTGCGGCCGCCGTGGGCTTGGGTCAGGAGTTTCTGTGGGGTCAGGCCTAGCCAAGAGGGGCCTGAGAGACTGGAAAGGGCCACACCCTGCCATGGGCTGGGGTCCCTTCTGCCTGAGTGCCCTGGGGCTGGGGTTGCCAGTCAGTGAGACCAGTTTGGGCGATGGAGGGGGGTCTGAGAGGCTACCTGCACCCCAGCCCTGTGACACCCACCACCACAGGCCTTCCCTCCGACGCCCAAGGAAAGGCACCTGGGTGCTGCCGCCCAGGCCTGTCCTGGCTCAGCTTCCTTCCCTCACTGTGGTCACCTGCAGTGTGGACCAGGAGATGAGGCCCTGCCTCTCCTTCCTCAAGAAGGACCGCTTTAGAGGTCATGGTCCCTCTGTGGCCACTCTCCTTAGCGTGGGCCAAATGCTAGTCCCTCCCTCCCAGGCTCTCTGAGGACACGAAGACCCAGCACGTGCTCTCCAAATTCATATGCTGCCCGATGTCACCTGACAACTGCCCCAGCGTCATCTGGGTTACCTCTAAGAAGACGTGACCTCCACAACCTGCCAGATGGAGACCGGGCGAGACATCCTGTGTACCCTGGCTGGGCTCTCCACAGCCCTGAGGGGACGTGCCGTCGGCGGGAGCCGCTCGGGCGAAGCTGGTTGCGTCCCAGGCCCTCCCCAGGGCCCACACCCCCACTATGCTCTCCAACCGGAGATTTCACACCCCCCCCCGAGGCCACTGGCTGGATTTTCTGCAAGCATCTTATGGCTGATTTGCGGAAAAAGCCACCTGTGAATCAGAACCTGAGCCACCCCTTTTGATATAAAAAAGTGAAGGTTTAAGTAAAGCTTCCCAATAGACTCTCTCTTTAGGGAAAAGGTGAGAGCTCTATTCCCCTGCAGAAACGAGGCAGAACGACTGCAGAAGCGCCTTCATCACGCACCGGCGAACTCCAGGGCGCGCCGGTTATTTCTAGGCTTTTGAGAAAAAGAGCCACTTGCTCATAAGCCGACCCAGTTGCTGCTGTCTGCGGAAGATGCCGGGTTTGCTAAAAGCCTGATTTCAAGAGAGCAGCAGCCACACGGTGCGTCTACAGCTGGGCAGGACGGGAGCTGCCGGAGTGAAACCTCAGGGGCAGGGCTCCTTGCCGCCGCCACCAGGGAGTCTGCCAGGATGTGAGGAGCCGGGTGCGAGGAGCCGGGGAGGGTGGGAGTGTTCCTCAAGCTCTGTGCCTGGGGCGGGGCTGCGGCAAGGAGGCGGCCGTGAATACACTCTGCTCCCCTAGCTGAGCCGCAGGGGGCCTGTCTCAAGGTGGATGGGGCACCCTGATTAAAGCCAACAGTCCCCACCACCAATGAGAATACTCCTGGAATCCAGCAGGGGGCTGTGCAGGCCCTGGACCCAGCCCCCCAGAGCAGCCAGCAGATACCTACACCCCTGAAGTGGGCACAGGGCCAGGTTTGTGCCCCTGCTCACAGCTCCTGCCTCCTGAGGACATTTTCAAGATGTTGCCCTATTATGGTGACATCTCTCCACTCACCTGAATCACTAAGCTTATCCCTCAGTGACAGGTTGGCACGGGGAATGCTCCCACCTGCCAGCCCTGCCGAAGCGGCCCCTGGAGCGGCAGAGAGCCTCCTAATGTCTACCCAACACAGACGGCCTCTAACAAGCACCCACGTTCCCTGGGCCCAAGAGTTCAGCCGCAGAGGGCCCCCCGGCACCCAGGCCTCTGCCCACACTTGGAATTAAGGCCACATGGTTCTGGTGTTGCTACAGAAGGAGGCGTCTCCTGGACCTTCCCAAGCCTGAAGCGGGAGACCCGGGAGGAAAGGCACAGAATAAAACTGAGTGAAAGAAACTGTGGGGCCGACTCCCCCAGACGGAACCTGAGCAGGAGGCCAAGAAGGGCCTGACACCACCGGACGGGCCTGAGCCCCCGATAAGCCCCGAGGGGTGGGAACTCCAGCCAGGGCCAGCATGCAGAGCGGGGCCCAGCGGGGGTGCCTGGGATGCTCGCGGACAATGTCCCACGAGGAAAAGGGGGAGAGACCCAAGCCCAGGAGCTGTGCTGGCGGCTACAGCAGTTCTGTGGGCCGGGCGCTCCATTCCACCATGTGGCGTGGCGGGGCCGGGTCCCGCCCTGGGCCAGGGCGCCTGCAGGCTGGACGGCCTCTGCGGGAGGGCAGTGGGCTCACTCTCTGGACCCGAAGCCTCCAGGAAGCTTTCGTCAGGCCCAGGAGTGGGGCTCCCCATTCAAGTGCCCATCTCGTGCCCAGAGGGGGGCCGTGGACCTAGTGCACCCCACCCCTGACCAGGGCCCCACGGCCCCTCAGTTATTCTCTATTTGTTCGATATCCAGCTCGCCGTCCAGGGAGCAGGGGCTGCTCCCGGCAGCCCCACGGTCCCTCCAGGCCAGGGCCGGCTCCCCCCGCCTGCCGCAGGCCTCGTCCAGGCCGCAGCCCTCGGGCTCCTCACAGCACAGCTCCTCCCTGCAGGCGGGGTGGTCGTCGAAGGAGGGCGGGAGCGGCTCAGGGACTGGGGTCCCGGCGGGGGTCCTGCCCCCGGGGCCGGAGGCCGAGGCGGAGAGCAAGGCGGTCCAGGACCGGGTGCTGCTGACGTGGAGGGCAAAGGGGCTGCGGGGGCTGCGGTCCTCCATCCCGGAGCTCAGGCAGCTGAGGCTGCTGAAGGTCTGGCAGTTCTGTGGGGGAGACAGACACAGGTTACTAAGGGTCGCACCCCCTTCCTGGAACCCGAGGGCCGCATGCCCCACCAAGCCAGGCCAAAGCCTCCGGGCGATGGGTCTGCCAGACGGGGGAAGGCTACCCAAAGCCCGGCTCCTCCGTCGTCTGGGCAGGGAGAAGGGGCCGTCGACCACTTTTGCTCATGAAGAAACCCCTTGGCCAACAAGCACCACGTTACTAAAGAAACTCAGAATCCAGTCAGTCGTTCACCTACAAGGTGGGGAAGGGCACACGCGTGGCAATGCCCACCGGCAGGGAGGCTGCAGCGCAGGGCTCCGGACCCTTGGGACCCTTCTCTGAACGGTGAGCTGGCAAAAAGGAATCAGGTCCCTTTGGGCAATTTCACTTCCAGGGTTTTTATCGGGGTACATGCGGACGTCAGCCCCAGGAAGACGCCTCGCCACACTGTCCCACTGGGAAGTGAGGAGCCCGGACCCTCCGCGCCAGGGCCGGAAGCGGGCTTCTGCAGACAGGGCAGGCCCCTGGGCCGCCGAGAGGACATTCTGGAGTGAACCCCTGACGCAAACGGAAACTGGCCAGCCTGCGCTGCTGCACAAAGGGGCACGATGCCCATCCCACCCACTTGCCACCACCGGGGAGGGGGAGGAGGAGGTGGGCCCGGGAGGGCTCAGCTGATATCCAGCCTGGGGCATGGCAGGAGGCGCAGCCGTCCAGGGAGCTGGTTTCCACGGGAACCGGGCCCTGCTGGAGATGCTGCCAGGCTGGCTCCCCAGGGGGGAAGGCTCCCCGACCTTCAACAGGCACTTGGGTGGCGGAGGCCGCAGGGCTCACCTCCCTAGGCCTCGGCTGCCTCATCTGTAAGAGGCGAGCCACGGGCCCTGTGAGGCCCCGTGAGACAGTGAGGCTGTCAAGAGCCCCCGCCTACCGTGCTGGCTTCGTGGGCACCCTCAGGAGGGCCCTAGGTGTGGCTTAACGCTCTGCTTTTTCCGCCCTGAAATTCTGAAGTGTTTTTTAAAAGGGCCCTGCATTTTTGCTTTGCACGGGGCCCATGGCTTACAGCCAGCCCTGCATGTAACGCTTGCTATCTTTACTCTCTCAGTTTAAAAAGAACCCCGTCCCTCGCACACTGTGGCCTCTGCGTGGGGCCGACCTGCGGCAGGAGGCAGCCTGGGGCCTGCCCGAGCAGCGGGTGCAGCCTGAACACCACCCAAGGGTGCTGGGGCCACCTGCTCACGGAAGGAGGCAGGGCCAGCACGGTTGCACAGGTGGGTTGTTAAACATCAGCCTTCACAACAAAACTGGGACAGGGGGCTGGGGCAGCCCGGGGAGTCCACGGCCCCGCCCTGGAGGTCCCCACCAGGACCGGGGGCAGCGCAGTCCCTTCCAGGGGGACGAGGTGGGAGACGCGAGTGGACGGTGGGGGAAACTGGGCAGGACCTGGAGCAACAGGCGCCTGCCGATGCCAAGATCACAGCCTGTCCCGAGGGCCCCAGTCCTTTCACAGGCCAGTGTGTGGAGTCACTGTGAAATACAGACGACCGCCAGCTGCCACGGGGCACAGGCTGCTGGAACAGGTTTGGCAAATGGGACATAAAAGATGCTGCATCTGAGGGAGGCGGCTGCACCCGC